AATGTCTGCCTATGTACTGAACCATGCTTTTCTTCATCTTTGGAATGTTCTACAGACTCACTTTTGCCACATAAGAATTTCAGTACAATTCTGATGTTTATGAGTGTGATGTAGATGAGCAATAATGCTGCAAACATAAAAAGTGAGATCTTCTGAAATCCCTCTCTGCAGGAGTGGGGATTTCTGTCATGATGCAAAGCTTTCTAAAGCTTAATGCTTTGCTGAATAATCATGTTCATTCTCCAAGCAGCTGCCAACAACATCATGTTAGCTCCTGAAAGACACAGGATTCTCTCTAGAGACATTAAAGAGAAGCCATATGTTTGGAAATGCTGGAATAGCTTGAGACGCTAAGAATACTCTTCTTCTCCATTTCTTGATTCAATTTTTGTGGGTCCTGGAGGACTGATATGCCCAGTGTCACTGTCCAGAGGGAAATTTTCCTTTGTGTTGAAGTACAAGTCCAAGGCCTGGGCCTCCTCCAAGGTGGTGCATGAATTCTGTTGGCCTTTAAACTGGTATTACTGCACAGCTTTCTTACAAGCATGCTGTATCCTGTGAAATAAAGAAGGATTAGAAGCTTCCTGTGGGAAAGGAAAATATCCATAATAGGACTAAGAGGGTAAAAAATTACCAAAGCTCATCATAACTAAGTGAAGCAAGAAAAATTTCCAGTTTACAATAGTGTTTAGTTTGAAATGTCTATTTTCTTTGTCCAAAACATGCCATTTGTTTAGACAAGGGCTGTCATCAGATGTGCTGCTGAACATTCCGTAGACCCAGTGTAATTTTTTTTGTAGGCTCTTTCAAAGAATATACTCAAGGGTGTACATCTATTATTACAAACGAGTTTTTCATTTAATGCAGTAATGCTGCAGAAGAAAGCTGGTGGCTCTAGGAGCACAGGAAGGGGGAGAGATGTTGACTGAAGAGCAGCTGTGTTAGGTATTATCAATGGACAAGCAATGGCAGTTTGTACTTCTAGAACTTCATGTTCCTAGTTCAAGTATTTCAGTCAGCTGCATTAACACTAGACTCAGATAAAGGAAAATACATTTGTCCAGGCTGATGCAAGATCCTGGGAAAAAGAAACCTGGTAAAACCGTGGGCTGACGGAGATAAAGCTTCCTAGGAACATAAATCAGGAGGAGTTTCTGAGGGTAGTCCTTTTATACCTTACAGAACCTGGTGGTGGAAGTTGATCGATTCTCTCTTCCCACCTGTCTCCTTTCTGGGAGAAGCTGGTTCATTCTCCAAAGCTTCTTATCCTCCATCTCTCCACTCCTGAACAAAACTGCTGTCACAGCCTCTTGCATTGTTCTCTATGCCTGTATTTCTCTTTAACCTATGGCCACAATACTTTTTTTCTATTTCTGCCCTTGCCAAAGACATGGATTCTTAGTGTCCTGGAGAGAAACTGGATGTAGGACATGACAGGGATTTATGAGTGGCCTGAGGAGCCTGGGGAACAATGGGATTGCTTATTGTGTCTTAGGGAGTAGCATGCAAAACTTGTTGGAGGTGGCTTGTTCAGAGCAAGCAAAGGAAACTTCCTCTATTTTAGGAATGCTATGAAGTCCTTTCCACAGGTTTTCTTGGATGCAAAGCATTTACATTACCTCAAAAAGAGAAGGGACACAAGGAAGAAAAATCCTTGGAGGGCTATGAGGTTGAAGGACATCCGATCCAATCTGCTTTGTCCCCAGGAATAGCCTGGTGTTGGAATGTTCCCTGCTACTACAGCCCAGCAAGAGACCAAAGATTATTACATATCTCTCTGGAGGAAAGTCATGGTTGCTTAAATCCTGCAAGGGTCTGGAGAGTTACCCAAGCTCATGCCTTCATTTGCTGCAGCAAAGGTCTCCTGGGAGCATCTCAGCCCCTTTTGAGCAGTAAAGGAGGGCACAGATCAGGTCTGACCTGACAAAGATGTGTGTTAGAAGGTGGATTTATCTGACATTGCTGCTGGACTGTTCTTGTTCAGGCAGATATGGAAGTGGAGATAGGGCTTAAATGATGGGAACAATTGCCCTAATGATTCTGACTTACAAAGTTTGCTGGGGGAATAAAATATCTGTCTTTCCTGGGAAACATAAAGACTACTCAGAATACTACTTTCCACACAACTTCTCTTCTCTCTCTCTCAGAAAGGATACCTGGATAGAGATGCTTATGTTTTCCTTCCCCTAAATCTTGTTTCTGTATTGCTTCCATCATTATTTAAATCTGATCCAGAGAGCAACCGATCGTGATGCAAATTTTCTTCTCCAGCCTTTGAGCAAAATTTCCCTGTGTCCTGGAAATTCTCCAGTTGCCTTGGTATAATTTCTTCCTGCACTCTTCTTCCTTCCTTTTCTGAGGCAGAGAAAGCAGGCATCTGGTGAGGAGTGTGGCCAAGCAAGGCTGTGGCGATCAGGGTACAGTTTCCAGTTTTGATGGAGAAGGAACTGGGAAAGTAGGAGTAAAGTGTTGCCACATTACATCACTGTAACAAGCTGGCTTGTACTGGGCAAATGAATTCAGCTGCCCAGCCAGCTCCATAAGCTAGCCCCTGGGTTAACTGATGGAACTTCAACCAATTATGTTCCTTCCTAAGCTGCAAGCGTATCACTGGTCCAGGATTTGGGGGGCATAAAAGATCAGATCAATGAGCTATCCAGACTGGGTTTTTCAAATGCTCTTTATAAAGAAGAGCTGAAAAACAAACTCTGTTGCCACATGAACATCGGGTGAGTGGTTCTCTTTGTCTCCAACCCACTTTCTCCCACATTCACATAGGAGAGGGAAGGGCAAAGTCAGAGGAGAGGGAGAGGGTTTGGTATGCTTAAAAACACTCCCCAAAGAGAGATCCTTGTCTTTTCCCACTACTGTTTACTGCCACAGCCTGCTATGGTCTCCTTAAGTCACCTAATCATCCTTTTCTTCTTCTAACATCTTTGTCCACTACCTCTTCCATTGACTGCTCTTTTTAAAATTCTGCTGCCTTCTTCTATTGTCTACTGTCTCTTCCTTCCCTATATATGCTGCTTTTCTTCACCACTGTCAACCCTTCAGCAGACATCCTCTGTCTACTTTTCCATTGCCACCTTCTACTCTTCTGCTGTATTCTTCACCCACTTTCTTCAGTTGTTGCCTTTCTTCTTCCACTGCCTTCTTTTGCTGCCTCCTTCTGTCCTTTCCTCTGTCATCTTCTACTGCAGATCATCCACATCCCCGTTCCTCCTCTTCTTCCTGTTCTTCCAATACCACCTTCTGACGTGTTCTTCTGCTACCTTATTCCACTCTCTTCTTCATCCCCTTCTCCTTGTCTTCTACTGCTTCCATCTTCCTTTCCCTTCTTTTGCCACCTTCTTCCACTGTAACTCCTTCCTATTCTTGTAGTGGCAGTATCTCTTTTACAGGTGGAGCATACAGGCCTCAGATCCTCAGTATCCCTGACTCCAAAAGCCTAGGGATCAATCTTGAGTCTCCCTTAGTGCTTTCTGCAAGAGTTGTAGAGAGGAAGGGAGGGAGGGAAGGCAGGGAAGGGACGGAAGGGAGGGAGGGAGGGAGGGAGGGAGGAATTTCCCCCCCTGTATTGGCTCTGCAAGGAGAAAAGGCAAAGCATGTAATTATTTATAGTTCCCAATAGATGGCTCCCAAATCACAGAGGTGACAGCAATGCTGAGCACACAGATCAGATTAGTTTCAAGACTAGCAGTTCTATCGTATCATAAGCTGATATAAATGAAGGCTTTAGTTTTGTTTGAAAATATGCAAAAAATCATTTTGTTTCATCACACTTTGGTCAGATCTGTAGTTATCTCAACCCTTCATGCCCCACATTGGCACCAAAAATGGATCATTATGCTTTAACCCCAGCCAGCATCTAGGTACAATGCAGCCACTCACTCACTCCCTCACTTCCATTCCTCCAGCTGAATAGGGAGAAGAAAGTGAGAAAAAAATGTAAAAACCTTTGTGGCTTGAGATAAGAACTGATTAATAAAATAAAAAATATTTAATTTAATAAAAAATGTATAAAAATAACAGAAAAAGAAAACACCAGAAAAAGTGCAATTGCTCACCACCTGCTGAGCGATGCTCAGCCTGTCTCTCGGCACTAATTAGTTCTGTCTGTCCAGCTCCTCCCAGTTTATATTCTAAGGATGACATTCTGTGGTGTGGAATATCCTGTTGGCCAGTTAGTGTCAGTTGTCCCAGCTAGGCTCCCCCACAGCTTCATGTTCACCTCCTTGCTGGTAGAGCATGGAAAGTTGAAAAGTCCTTGACATGGAGTAAGCACTACATAGGAACAACCAAAACATCAGTGTGTTATCAATATTATTCTCATATTAAAAACATAGTGCTGCACCAACTGCTAAGAAGAAAATTAACTCTATGCCAACCAAAATAAGAACAGCCATCTCCTCCATCTCCTCCTTCATCTTCTCGTAATCTTCCAAGATTTTCTTCCATTGCCTCCTCCTTCCTTTCTGCTGCCCCCTTCTTCCACTTCCTTATTCTATTCTGCCTCTTCTGTCTCCTCCTCCTTTTCTTGTTACATCACCTTCTTCTACCACTTTCATCCTCTGCTTTCTTCTGTGGCCTTCTCCTCACACTGGCTTCCTCCATTGCCTCCTGCTTTTTCTAACAAGTTCTTCCATCAAGTCTTCCTTCTCTTTTTTTGCTGCAGTCTTCTGAGACTTTATTCCACCACCTTCTCCATTCCCTCTGCCTTCTTTTCCTCTGCCATCTTCTTTTGTCACCCGCACCATCACATCCTCCTTTTCTTCCACCACGTTTTTGTGGTGTCTCCTTCCATCAATTACCTCGTCACATTCTTCATCACTTCCTTCATGCCTAATTTCAGCACCTTCTTCCATTTCCTTCTTTCACATCCTCCTTTTCTTCTTCCATCGCATACTTCTGCTGCATTCTGCTGCATTCTGTCTGCCCTCTCTTCCTTCACTGCCTTTTTCCACCACTGCCATTGCCTCCTCCTTCACTTCTTCTGCCACCTCTCTCCTTCACTTCTTATGTTGTCTCTTGCTTCTTCTTCCATTGCCTTCTTCACCATTGTCTTCTACTGCCTCCTCAGTTGTTTCTTCCTTCTTTACTTTCACAGCCTCCTCCTCCCCCTCCTTCACTGTCTTCTTCCATAGCCTCCTTTTCCTCTTCTTCCAATGTCTTCTGCCACCTTCCTTCATAGCCTTGTCTGTAGCCTTCTCCTTCTCCTCTTACAACATTTTTTCTTTGCCTCCATTTCCTTCTTCTTTATTCTGTGGTTTTCTTCCTCTGCCTTTTTTTGTTCCCTCCACCATTGCCTCCTCCTCCTATTTTTCTGCCTGCTTCTGTAGCCTTCATCTGCCACAGCCACCTTCCAACGCAAATGCCTTCCTTCTGCCACCTCCACCTTCTTCTGTCTTCTTCCACCACCATTTTTGATGCCTCCTTCCACTGCCGCTGCCTTCATGTGCCGCCTGTCTCTGCTGTCTTCCTCCACTGCTTTCTGCTGCCACCAGCTCCTGTCAGTGCAGTCTGCTGTCACATTTCATCACTGCCTCCTGTTGCTGCCTTCTGCCACCTCCCACTGCTGCCACCTTCCACTGCTGAATTAATCAGCCACTGCCTCCATATGCCAAAGCTGCCTCCTGTCTCACTGCCTTTACACTGCATTTCACCACCACACCATTCCATGGCTTCCACCCTTCAGCCACTGTATACCTCCACCTTTGGCCTCTGCCACCTTCCACTGCCTCCACCTTCTCTTATTCACCACCTTCTTCCAGCTTCTTTTGTCACCTACTCTGTTGTCTCATTCACCATCTCCTTCTCTTCCACCACCTTCTTCTGCCTCCTTTCTTACATCACTTCCTCTGTCACCTCCTCCTTCTCTGCTTCTGCTGCAGCCCTTTGGAACTTCTTTTGTCACCTTCTCCATTGCCTCCTCCTTCTGCTCCTCTATGGCCTTCTGCTACCCACTGCCACTCCTTGCTTCTGCCAGCTCTTCCACCATTTCCTACTTTTCTTCTATATTTCCAAGACATCCTAATGAAGCTGTAATTGGCAAGCCCAATAATCGTAACTGTAGTTGTTAATGACTGTATAGGAATGTCTCTATCAGCTCATTGGCAAATGATTACACTGGAAAATTTATATTTTAATTATGCTTGTAAGAGAAGTGTGACATTTTAACAGCATAAAGAAATAGGGTTTTTCCCCTAGAATATTGCTCAGTGGTACATGTCTTAACTCTGCCTCTGACAGTAATCTTGTACTATTCCACTGATCCTTGAGTAAATAACATTACCCTTCTGTCTATTTATCTTCCTGCCTTCTTTGTGTGTCTTAGCTATACATACTGAAGATCTTAAGACAGGGACACTTTACACTAGTTATTTTCACTTTGCCCAGCATGAAAGAAATACAGTGGGATGTTTGTAGCAAAAAGTGGTATTGAAGTGTCATATCCAGTTTAAATGTCTGTGGACTTTGTGCTCTTTGACAATCAAGAGATGATTTCATAGAATCAAAGAATACTTTTTACCTGAAGGAGCATCCACAGGGTGGAGGTCTGTGGTCCAACCTCCAACTTAAAGCAATTCCAGTTTGTAACCTAGAAGAGGTTGCTTAGGGACTTACCCATCTGAGAATTGGAAACCTGCAAGGAGGGGGGTTCTACAATCTTTCTGGGAATTCTCTTTTCTGCCACAGTAGGACCCTCAAGGGGAAATTCTTTTCCTTTTATTCCTGCATTCCCTAACCATTCCAAGATGTCATTATGGCATTGAGTCTATTTCCTACATCTGCCTTTTTTGGTAGTGAAAGGTTGGAATTACACCTCCCCTAGACCCACCTGCCCTTAGCTTTCTTCTCTCCAAGCAAAGAATAGCAAGTCTCTCATTTTTTCTTGTATGTCACATGCCACCTAATCATCTTGGACACTAATCAACTTGTTGGCCATCTGCTGGAAATTCTCAGGTATTTAACACTACTTTTGCATGGAGGGGAAGGTGTGAACAAAATTGGTCTTTATTCATCCCTTTGCAATAGTCAGCTCTCCATAAGGAGCAGAAGGGGTTTGTCTTCAAAGTCAGTAACACAGATCATGCAGAAAATGGGCAAAAATGCTTTTTGCTAATGACATAGTAGATGTGCTATCAACCTAGTAATGATAAAGAGTCTATGATCCATCTTGCCCTTAATTATTGAAGGGACAGATAATTTTTTCACTAGTTTTACATGTTGCAAAAGAAATGTAACTATTTTTTCCTAGCCTAGGAAGCAGAGTAAGAATAATTTTGCTTTTTCCCCAGAAATTTAAATTTTTATAGAGTGCCAGTGTCCTGGAACACGTGATGTTTTTATCTACAAATAATAATTGCAGCATCTCAGCATACTAGATTATTTCTATAGTGTGTGCTTGCTGACCAGTTACACTGGTGTTTGAAATTCATGAGAGAACAGGCAGGTCCAAGTTCCAATTCTTGACAGCTATGCAATCATTTTCATTAGCCAATAAGACAAGAGTCAAATAATTTATTAGAGTCTGTTGTTACTGCAGCTCACATACAAAGCGAAATCATTCTATGAGATGCACATCAAGTAACGTGTCCAGGAGATTTTCATTGAAACACATTCCGTTGATTTAAAAATCCATCCTCTTGGGAGGAGCACCAGCATCTGAACTGGGAGGAGCACATGTGCATTTTCCCTGAAGGAGCTTCAAGGGAACCTCTGTCTCTGAAGGATAATGTAAGTGAGTCACCAGCTCACTTATGGCATGTGAAAACTAGAGCTTTCAGAAAATGGTGGCCTGAAAATATGGTTCTTGACTGAAATCAAGAACCAGATCAATTCCAGTGAAACACAACACAGAATCATAAAATTACAGAAGCATACAATCACACAATCACAGAATGTTAAGGGTTTGGAATGGACCTTAAAGACCATGTAGTCCCAGCCCCTTTTTGTCCCCCACCACATCTTTGGGTCACTAGTTTAGCACTTTAGCCCTCATGGTGCTCACTCAGCCTCTTCTTACGTCCATGACTGATCCCTCCTCAATAGCCAGTTGTCTTGCTTTAGACCAGCAAATGAATGTGGTATAGAAATGTTCTGGGTTTCAATACAATTTAAAGGTGAAAGGGTTTTGTGGACCTTACACTTAGCATTGGTGTCTCAGTTTCAGCAAAGCTATAACATGTCATTTTACAGTTGTAGAGACAGAGGGAACTCTTCAAGTGCAGCCGGTAATTTATTATAGTGTACAAGTCTGCAGAGAGGTTAAGATGATTTCCAGCAGGACAAATTTCCTAAGTTTTTAATTAATTCAGAAAACTGTTCTGGATTTGTGAGGCCTTTTCACTATTTTCTCCCTCTGCCCAAATGTTTTATTAACTTTCTAAGGACTATGAATTAAAACTCAGACAATTGCTTTCTACTTACTATATATTATATGAGGTGTTACTAGTATGACACTCAAGAAAGTTCTCTCAGGAGTAAGGCTAATCAAGAGCAGAAATCTCACTTTAAAGATTACCAAAATCACAGAGTCTGGAGTCAGCCAGGATTCCCCAGCAAGGTTCCTGTCGTGTCAGGGAAATCTCATGCAATGAAGCTCTTGCAGAGAATTCATTTAAAGTAAGCGATTAGCTATTTTATACCTTTTTGGTGTAGATACATAAGTAGGCATAGGGTATCAGTGCCTGGAAAAGTTGTTGCTGACTCCTTTTTTTCTGCAAGTCAGTTCTTTATCACAGTTTCTTTGTCCTGCACCCACCAGTTTGTTTGGTGGGGTTTTTGGGAATTTTTTTTCATTTGTTTGTTTGTTTTGTTTTTGTTTGGTTTCGTTTTTATTTGGGGTGGTTGTCTTTTGTTGTTGTTGTTTCTTGGAGGGTTTTTTTCTTTGGTTTTTTTTTTCCTGAGAGGAAGATGCTCTTATTTATAAGACTGTTCCCAAGAGAACACTGTCACTGCAGCAGACATGTTTGCCAGTGAAATGGATGATATATTTGCTAAAATACTCTTTGCTGTGGAGAACTTTTGCTATTGTTACATATCATTCTTCACTGCAGTGGCTGAAAATTATGTGAAAATGATGATTGATGCCATCCATCTCCTGTACAGCACAAGTTAACATTTTCAATAATGAGTTGGACAGATGGACAAAGTCCACCCTCAGCAATTTTGCAGATGATATAAAACTGGGAGGACTGATTGATACACCTGTTGAGAGAAAGGGAACATCCTGTACATGGGAAAGAATAACCTCATGTACCAAAGTTGGAAAGCAGCTTTGCAAAAAAAACGGGATGTAGGAGTCCTCAAGGAGAGGTTGAAGATGAGTCAGCAACATGCCCTTGCAGCAAATAAGTCCAAAGCATTTCTGACTGCACTAAGAAAAGTATTCCCAGATCAAGGAAGTCTTTACCCCTATTATGCACCAGGAAGATCACATCTGAGATATGTATTCAGTTCTGGACTCCCCAGCACAAGAATTATAGGGACATGCTGGAGCAAGTCCAGCAAAGGGCCACTAAGATCAAGAGGGGTCTGGAGTACCTTCCGTAAGAGAAGAGGCTGAGAGATCTGGGTTTATTTAGCCTTAAAAAAGAAGGTTCAGGAAGAACCTTATTGATGGGTATAAATGTGTGAATAAAGAAAACAGTATCAGCTATTTTCCATTCTGTAAGAGGCATAAATTCAGTTCCAGAAAATTCTGTTTAAAAATAATCCCCCTAATTTTTTACTGTAAGGGTAGTCAAGCACAGGAACAGGTTACCCAGCTATGTTGTACAGCCCTTGAATATCTTTGGATATTTAATATCTTTGGAGATGTTTCAAATCTGATTGAATACTGAGCAAGCTGTATTCAATAATAGCTATAAGCTATTATTCAAGAGCAGAGGTCAGCCTAGACAATCTCTAGAGATTCCTTCCAACCTCAAGATATTCACTGTGATTCCATAAATGGAATCTCAAAGCTGAAGAGTCTTAAATATTCTTTTAATTTTTGAGATGTTTGCATAAATAAATTATAATTTCTAAATTGACTCTCACACACACGGGAAAGGGGAAGATATGTTTTGCTGTACCAAATAAGTTGATTCTTTGTACCTGCACTACATTTCAACTTTCCTTTTGGAAGTTACTGATGCTGCCTGGAGTACACTGAATTAAGATACATTAAAAACAATAAAGTTATTCCCTTAAACTGTATAGGTTTATGATTGAGGTTCTGCACTCCTAGCCCTCTTAATAAATTGGAAGAAGGCAATCGTAGTCCTAGTCTCATAGGAATAGTTATGTTACCTGCTGAAGCTACCAGGAATATACATTCCATTTTCTGACTTAAAGTCAACTAGGAGAGATTTTATGCGCCATTTTAGCTGAAAGACTATAACTTCTGTCACCATTAGTTCTATAAAAATGACACAGACCACTGCAAAGTAAAAACTTCACTTTTCCTTGACCCTGCAGACATACAAACTGTCCTCAAATTTTGGAATCTATACCTATCTAGGCCCAGACTACTTCAAGTGATAGGTTCCCCTCAAATCATAATGCCAATTTACTTTTTACTTTCTCTTGAAGAAGCTAAACAGAAGAGACAGCTAGGTCTGTAATGGTCCTTCTGAAATGTCTGAGCTTTGTAAATTAAATACTTTAAAAGACACAACCTATTATACAAATCCCACTTAACAACCATTAAAGCTAAATTAATTCTAAGCAGGAAAAAGAATTATCCTGTGGGCCACCATTTATTCACTAAGCAGCTCTCTCTTTCTTCACCTCTCTGTTTCTCTTCTGCATTTTTCCCTCTTTAATCTTGTTAAAATGCCTGAGGAAAATAAAAACAGTTGAAAGTGTTTGTAGTTCCTACAGAGAACAGAGCTGTGAAGAATCCATCTCACTGCTTCCTGAAGCCAGTGTGTAGGAAACCAGGAAGGGTTTGAAGGAAAGATTCTGTGGGAATAGATATGAAAATCCTACCTCAACCATTCTGATCCTTGCTATTCCATGTTTTTTTTCACTGTCTCTTCGAAAAGTCTCTTTGGGCAGTTCACTATTGAACTACTGAAAAGAGTCTCTCAACATAAAATTCTTTTCATTGCAGAGGCAAAGCGAGCCAGAGAAGTGTTTGGCATGGGCTTCCAGAATCTGGAATGCTACCAGTAAGCACTGCACAGTTGACAGCTTTATGATGATATAATTGCTAAATGATAATGGCTTCAACAGCTGTGTCACAGACCAAATGTTTTACACAATCTTATTCAGGTCACATTTATCCTAGTCCACACAATTCCAAGCCCCAGAGTCTGTTTATGAGATTATTTCAAGCTCCATGACTTGGTTAACAGGAGCACAGTGAAGGTTGTTCACTATACCTAAATGATTAAGGGATTGGAGCTCCCCTGCATCCACTGAATTTAGTGAAAAGTAAATCCTTCCTCTCTGGGATGCATCTCATGATGTGCACCCCAGAGGGGAAGGATTTACTATAAGGAGAGCATCCCATTCACAAAGTCTGGTTCATACATAGTCTTACAGACACAGACTACTACTACTATGTAATTCTGCTATGAATTTCACAGAAAAAAAGATTGACACAGTTTTTGACATTTTTCCCTGTTCTCCAAAGGACAGTGTATTTTCTTAAACATTACAACAGTTTTAATTCAATGCAATTTCAGTCTTCAGGATAGGAGTAATCTTAAGGTATAACAGCTGTATCAGCCCTAGCATGCATCCTGAGTTGCAAAGCTACTATTTAGAGCTAGTCTATATTCTCTACAGGCAAGTTGTAGATAACACTCTTAGAAGTCAGACGAAAAAGATACAGAAAGGCAATGCTTTGACGCAAGCAGTTTGTGAAGGAGACAAAACTTCCATTTGCAATTCTGCAAGTGCAGGTCAGTTAACAGTGGAATCAAGCTCGAGGGTATTTATTATTCCTGTCTCTCTCTATTGCTATATTAAGAGCTAGTGCTCATGGGACTTGGAAATATCATTCTTATTGGACAGCACAATTCTTTACAGCTCTGAATCGATTTCAAGGTCCTATAATTGGGTTTATATGGTATTGTAACCCAACACGCCAGGCAGAACTTCTGTTATTTGAGGTCCATAGGAAGTAATTGGCAGGAAGATGATACTTTAATCAGTTTGACCAACACATTAATGTATTTGGAATAAAAATACTCTCTGGATCACATCCTGTGATTTCAGAGCTCTTTCTTATTTGAGTTGCTCTCACTGTTCAGGCTTTCACATGATGTTATTCTAGCCTTTTTTTAACTAAGAGTGATAATTATTAAATATTTTATTGTGCAGCATACTGCAGCTTCAGGGCATACTGAAGGGCACTGCTATGATGTTTTATTGCAGTTGACAATGAATGTGGTAATGTTTTGGTGTGCTTATCTCTGGAGTGTTCCCTTTACATTCTATTACCCTACTTATTTCCCCATTCCTGGATGCTAAAATGGATCTCTTTGTAACTGTAAACAAAACAAAATTTTAATCATGTGAGGCATTCTGAATGCTCTCTGAGTAGGATGGTGTTTTACTGATATAGAAACTCCTGTGGCTTCCTGCACAGCTGGGTATAAGTGGTCAAAAATTATCTTGGCTTGCCTGTACTCTTGGCAGGACATGAAACAAAATCTGCTCCCAAAACCATTTATACATGTTAACATAGGACTGAGCCTGATCACAGAAACTTAGTCTCAAGGCTGCAAAAACCTTCTGATCCAGAGGCAGTCCATAGCAAGAGAGGACTTAACTCAAAACCATCTAATTAAGAAAAGTTTTTCTTGCTATTCAATCTTTATTTTAAAGCAACTTATTTTGCATAATTGTATTTCCACCTCTCCCAGTAAAATGCATCTGCATGGCAAAGTGCATGGCCAATGATTTTTTGGTGTAACTTACCACTTAGCCCCAGAGCTTGTTATTAGTAGTCACAGGTAGAGCATGCTTAGATGGGTAGTTTGCCATGTCTTGCATTCATAGCATGCATTTTACGTTCGTCAAACTCAGAGCAAAAATTGGCCAAGTAAACAGAGCCCTTTACTGTAACTACTGCACATTATCCAGCTTTTGTCAGGGGTCAGTTCATACAATGTCCAGTCTTTATATGCTCCTAGTGAATATTTATAAATATTCTTAAAAAACAGCATTCCTTTCTCTTTTCTCAGTTTTCTGCTAGTTTTTTACTGCATTTCATTTTTCTCTTTCTCAGAACAAGGTCTTTGATCTTTCACATGGTGGCTCAATGACTTCCTGAGGTTTCAAACAAGATGGACTCATTCAGAGAATTCACAGAAACCTGAGGCTTATAAAATTATTCATATGTACTGATTTATGCTATTAAGCCATTAGAAATGTTTGCTGCAAGCTAGCCCTGGAGAGGAATGAGTTCAAGAACCCAAGAAAATCTTTGCTTTGGCTTTTCCTCAGTTAGCTATCTGAAAGCCATTAAATCTTATAGGCATGTCACACATGTGCTCTGTGTACCTTCTGAATTGTCTGGCTGACAAAGACAAGTAAAACAGGGCTAAAGACCTTGGAAGTAAACATCAAATAAGATTTATATTTCTCCTGTTATTGATGTTACTTAAGAGTCATTTTGTTGATGCTGTTGGTTTCCACAACAAATGGAGAATTTGTCTTCCCCTAGACAAATATAGAAGAGAAGTTGAATGGACCAAATGGCAACAAAATCAAAGCCAATTGCATGTTAGCTGAGTTTTTCAGAGCACAGGTATGCCTGGTGTCTTTTTCAGGTCTCAAATGAGAAGTGTTCATTGATTTCCCCAGTTATGGAAGGTATTTTTTCACAAGTCCCCATCAATTAAAAAAATAATAATTCTCACTTTAATTTGAAAAACTAAAATAAAATAAAACAACCTATTATGTCTCTCAGTCAGACATTCTGTCAAGAAGATCTGACAGTCAGACAGATAGGATTATTAAGTCTCTTCCCTTGGCTGTCTATACTGTTTTTAGTTCAGGTCAGCAGTCTGGTCAAGCTGATGTTAATGCCAGTGCAGAGCACAAACATTGATAGTGAACGGAGAATTTCTTTCCGTGTTTCATTATTTTTGAATCATGAAAAGATGACAAAGACAATATCCATGTTTACAAAAACAGACCATGTTCCTCAGAGCCAATGTGCTTACATGTTCACATACCTGCTCACAGGTGTGTAACTGTGCGCAGCTGCAGCTCTTGTAGGGAGCGGTCAGAGGCATCGTGTCTCAGGAAACAAAATTGGCTCTGTCAAGGCACAAGATTTGCAGCCAACAGTGACCAGCAGAAATAGACTTTAACTATGAAGAACAAAACAAACCACGCCAAACACCCCAAACCACCAAAGCAAAACATTAAGGGTTACAAGATTTCTAAATTTGTTTCCTTAACAAGCAGTGGCTTTGATTAACACATGTATAGGGTTTAAGAAACAGAAGCTACAAAAGAGTTAAAAGCCCACGTGTTTCTGGAGGAAAGTCATCTTTAATCCAGAATGAGAGAAAATTTGCAGGGCACCTTTCCCTTTGAGAAAGTCATTCTGTAGCTGTTTAATCTGAGGCTTCTTGCATCTCCTTCTGAAGAACAGGTATTGGCCTCAGGGCCAGTGTACTACTTCTGTGTTATCCTTAGCATGTAATGAACTCTTTCTGGTTGGCTGTAGGTTTGAAAAGTGGAAGAAACATGCATTTCTTCCTTTACTGTTGCGGTGTGTTTCAAACTTTCAGGTCCCTTACCCAGGTGTGCCAAAACCCTCCCTTCCCCCCTCGCCCCCTTGCTCAGTGAGTCCTGTCAATCAGGCTTAACATTCCAGCAAAGGCGTCGTGTGGTTGGTCAAATTCAAAGGATGTCCCTCAGGCCCAGAGGCCATTGGCCTGTCTAGGTGTCCCTTGCCCCTTGAGACCCCGCCCCTCCCACCTGGTTGGTGGCTCACCTGTCCCCTCCCCTCCCCTCCCCCCGAGCTTAAAAGGTGAAGCAGGCTATGTGCTCTCCATTCTGTTGGAGTTCTTCCCAAGATTCAGACATCTGTAACCATGAAATAAACCTCTGGATATTAAACCCTCCAGCAGAATCCCTCCTTTGTCCTCACCTTTGCCTGAAGCCTCTTCCTAAGGTAAACGGAGTCCCTAACAAGCTTGGACTCGTTTAGTGCCCAGCTGAAACCATTGGCAAGCTAAAGGTGTCTCTGGGGTGATACACCACAGCTGCCGCCTTTGGCTCAGCCGCAAGGGTCAGACTGGCCCAGGCACAATCTAACTGGTAATATTGGGATTCATATTCCAATACTTTACCGTCCTAATTACAGCAAAAGTATACTGTCTTAACTGACACCTTAGGTGTCAAAGTATGACCTAATAAAAGGCCAAGCATATTTTGCTGCAGAATTGCATTTATTCTTGCCACATTTATATGGATATCCCATGTTCAATTTGCAGTGAAGGAAGACAAAAACCATGGTGTTCTGCTTCAGATCCATTAACCCAGGGGATGTTTAGAAAACACCTGTACTTTGATCCTCTTCAAAGCTCCAGACATCACTGCTAGGAATATTTTATGACTTCCAGAACTCAGTGCTCTCTAGCATTGGCAGTTTGCAATTGCCTGGCCACATGAGATTAAAGGCATTCATCAGAAACAAAAGGATCATTTGGTGCCTTAGGTTCTCTTGGCAAGTGAAACAGAGACCTCACTTAAAATTAATTTTAAGCACATCACTAATGGGATATTCTCCTGGTAGCTTCAATATTTGTTTTCTTAATAGCTGCTTTCTGGAGCCAAGAGAACCATCATACTTTTTATGCAGGGTTGTGCATTGAGGAGACTGTGCCTCCATGTCTTTAGCAAAGTATGTTTCCCCATGTGTATTGATGTAGCTCTTTATTCCCTGCTGCTGCTTCCTTCATTCAGGATGGTATGCTTAAAAACAAAAATTTGAGAACAGCTGTTAACTCCCTTTAATCCCTGCAGCATTTCAACTAGACAGAAAGTGCCACGTGACTGATTCCCACACTCCCCTTGTGCTTTACTTCAGAAAAATCAGGAAAGAATAGTACTGTATCCCCACACTCCACTTCCTTTTTGTTTGGTAGCATTTCCCTTTTACTCAACAGGGTAAAAGAGAGATGCACAGCAAGTAGGAAGATTTTTGCCACAAGCTCATCTGAAAAAAGTCTAAAAAGTCCCCAAGCTTAATTTTTTGCCTTGCTTGATTGCTCTTTATAGCTCAGCAGAAACCTGAAGCCTGCCCTGACTTTCAAGACCTGGGGGCTGACTATTACTTTTTATGCTTGGGCAATTCCTAATCAGGGCAGAGTGAGGTGCAAAGAGACAGGGGATCAAAGAAAGCATTTTAATGAAACACTGAAGCATTTATAAAATACTGGCATTGATAAAATTCAGTTTACATCTTTTGTTCCAAAAAGAAACAAAAGAAAGGAACAAGGAGTGACAGCATGGGTGTCCTATCGATATAAGAATGTTACGTAGTCAACATTGTTGGGAATCTGCTGTAGGCCTTAATTTAATATAAAGTACTAATTTAGTATTAATTAACATTAGTAAATAATAAAATAGTAATAATAAATTATTAATACAAATTTATAAATTACTACTAATAAATTGTTGTTACTCATTACTAATTTTATAATAATTAATTTAGACTGCAGGCTTAAATTAATATAGAGTATTTATTATTTTTGTGGTAGTTCTAGCGGTTGTTCCTTAGCAGGAGTGCTCCAAACAACCCAAATTAAAACACAGGCTCGTATTAACAAATCTCCACCAACAACTGCTCTGGTGCAGTGCTTGAAAGAGCTGGTGCCCAAATGCAGCTGTTCAGAATGCTGTGATTCACAAATGTGTGTTTGTTACATGAATATGATTATGAGTATGTGATGAAAGACCAAAGGAAGAGTTTATTTGAGAAGAAAAAGAAGGAACAATAAAGAAGCCTTTAAATAAATTGAGTGCTATAAATCTTGCATTATATTTCCTCTCTGATCACTTGCTTGTTTGATCTAGTGCCACCACAAAAATTCAGGGTTCCTCATTTTATTCACCTGTAAAAATTTTACTTGTAAAAAATATAATATTGTGTGCACATTGTGGTGCTCTTTTATTGCTTAGGCTTGCAGCAAACCTGGCTAGCCAGACCAATAAGGTTGCAGTCTACTCCTACCCTAAGTACTGTCAAATTTTTGTTTCTAATCTTTCCTTTTCCAGAGATCTTTATATACATGACTCCTAATAGGCAGAGGCATAATAAACCTTTATTGCATTGTTTTCTTTTGGAGAGCATAGTTTGATTACACTGAATTCATATTTTGCAACAATTGAAATACACCGAATATAGGTCTGAATATATATTACTCTAATGTAACTTCTTGAAGGTCTAGTGACTGAAAGGCAGCTGTCATAAAGCCATATAACTGACATTTTCCACCAATAATTGCCTAGCTTTTTTAACTACCTTTATGTACTTCAGTTGCTTAAAAATCTTTTTATGTACCTTAATTGATGCTGATATGTCTTCATTATACTTTGATGTCAATGCCTGTGTTTTGGTATTCCTGCCTATTGAGTATTCATTCCTTGACCCAATAAAGTTGTAATATTATCACTTAAAAAGTGAGTTAGAGTCAGCTGCCATAAATCCTCAGAATGTTTGTGATCCTCAGGATGTGAGCGCAATCAATCAGCAGTTCCAGCCAGCAGACTTTAATGAATCATATGCTTTGGTCTACTTTTTGTGGTTGTATAAGATACATTAATCAACAATCCATGCATGTTTAGAAAATACTAGAATCAGCCAGCCTTTGCTTTGAGATTTTAATTTTTTGCATTGCTTTGATGATTACGACATCATTTGGTATAGAGGGTGGTTTGCTCATCATGGTCTGATGATTTGCTTATGATTTAATCAAGCACTAAATTCAGAGGGGAATGTGACTGCATCTGGCTTCCCTTACTATTTTTAAAGACATGGGGGGCAGTCAGTATTCCAGGAACATGACAGCTTTGCAATCATAGTGCTTACATTTAAGGTTTTTGTAAAGAGGTTCATTATGTGAAGTGTTTGTGCTAAGGATGATTATGAAATCAGTGCTGAATAAGGGACTGGCGTTCCCATTTATGAAGTCTTAATGGAACCCTGGACCACTCTTGCAATGCCCACCACAGCAGAGTATCAAGAGAGTGGCAAGGGGGTCTTCTGAAAAATTTCATATGCCCTTTGAGGAGCTGGTGGTGCAAGGTGTCTGCTCAGAGGAGAATAATTTCAGTGACTACTGTCGGAGAGGAAGGCACCCTGGCCTGACTGATATAGAAAGAAATGTTCTTTAAGATCCTACAAGAACTTACAATATCAGTGTACAAGTTTAAAAAACCTTTTCAAAGGATTGGGAAATGTTTTTTTGTGTGTTTGCATGAAATTTAAGAGTAATATGAGATTGTTTACAAAAAAACAATGGTAATCTCTGCCTAAAGAGCTATCTTTCACCATGTTAATGGTGAAAAAGAAATTCACTTTATAAGATTTTTGTTTAAAGGGTTTGGAACATAATGTTGGTTTTATGGCTGTTCATCACTTGTCAGTATACCTTGCAGATTCCTTATTTATTATCCTCTTTAATACTTAATCTATGCCCAGTTTCCATTGCACATAGCAGCTGAAAGTTCAGACATCATAAATAATTTTTAAATTATCTCATTCCAGAAGTAATTCTCTGACTAATTTTCACTACTTTGGCTTCACCCATCAAGTGTGATCTAACTAAAATTACTACCTTGTCAAGATAAGAAAGACTGAACCATCCTTTCCTAATACTCATGAACAAGCTGTGACATGTAAATTGTTACACATGATGCTCTTCTGACTGACATTAACATTCTCTGACAGAGTCTGTAGAAATGGATGGGCACAATTTTAGTCTCTTTGTCTCATGATCTAGCATACTGTCTTAAAATATAACTTAAAATGGATTTTTGCTGTGATACCAGACCACAGACATGGGTGTCTGAGGCTCATATCCATCCTGGTTACTCTACAAATCACTACCTACTGTGGTGCAATGTAGTGGGAATTTATAAATATGTGGGAATTTATAAAATTAGACAGTTTTCCAGAACTCTCTAATTTTTTGTATTTCCACAGATCCCAGCAGCCTCATTATGTTGTATTATTGTAAGAGTCTTTCAGGTAGCAAATCTACTGTGATAAATGTCTATGTGAAGATGGTGATTTCTTGTTG